GACTCACCCGTGCCCGCCCGCGGGTCGCACCACACCCCTTCACCACCCTGAAGCCCCACGTTGGAACCCTCCTTCTGACTCGGGACAGCGCCGACGATAGCATTAAACTCACAAGTTAGTTCCAGTCAATAGATATCTGCTTTGGAGACAATCCGCCAATAGGGATGTGTGGTTGATACCATCTTTGCGGACTTCTCTCTGATGAACTAATTTTAAATTAGGGGAATTACTGCCTTTTAAGAAGTATTCACTGACTTGGCTGTCGACAAACTACTCACAGTCTCAAGCGGAAGTAAATTTTGAACAAAAACTGGAACGACAGGCAAAGTAATTTGTGATTTTTCATCGTGTTTAATTGTCGAAAACCACCTAACTTAGAGCAAGTGAGGGTGTGTCTGTGTAGTGACTGGGATTGGCGGAAGCAAATGCACATCTATACGCCTTTTTCAACCCCTAAAAGCATCCACAAAGCTGTTTGCCAGAACGCCATAGTAGATTTACCATTTCTTTTTTCAAGTTTCGTTTAAGTCTTAAAAAAATCACTGTCTTCACAACCGGAATAAACACGTCCGACTTACTCCTACGGCGATTTGTTTTTGAAGAGAAATGCAAAAGGTGTCATTTCTAGCACTGACATTTCCAACGTGTTCTCGCATCACCCGTGACATGGCCCACCCACGCCGCTGCGCAGGGAGCAACGCGAAGAAGCTGTTTTCTCGCAGACAGCAGTCTTTGATCTGACTGCTTAATTAGAAGCTACTTGCAGTCTGGGTAATGCTCTCCTCAACATCAACTATCCGCTTTACACGACGCGGAAAAATAACCTCTACTCGCATTTTGTGTTGCGTAATGGACTTCTGAATAATGTGCTGGCCACGTTCATCTGCCCCTTCCTTGAGTGCAGACAACTTATTTGCCGGATCGATTGAAATAAGTGCGTCTTGGAGTAAAATCGTGCTGATCCGCGTCCCGGTCGTCGCGTTCTCCGCCACACTGACCTCTTTTTTGTCATAGCCCTCCCCTGTCTGTCGATCTTACAAAACCGTCTCCTCAAACACCCCTGTTACATTCATCTGACCTACGGGCCATTTGTACTTTTAAAGCTTCACCCAGATTGTACTGATCGACGACCCCACTTAGTCTGGCGCGACTAACAACTAGGTTGAGCTGTCTAGTAAACGGTCGCGTCGCTGCCATCTCCGGTTTTCTTCTACTTGTCTTCAACTCTCAGCGGCCCCGGTGTGTTACAACTGTTGTGAATCGTGGTTATTCACACCGCTTAATCCGGTCGCTCCACCTCCGACACAGGGTTCCCCTTTTCCCCTCAACTCTCCCCTCATTCTTGAATTATCCTCACACATGGGTCTCGATGTTAGCGCATGTATGACACACGCATCTGAGGTATAAATACACACGCGCAAACCCCACACACGACACAACGACACCAACGTGGTTGAGCTCTGGCGTAAACGGTTGTGTCCACGTCCACTCTCCGGTCTTTTTCCTCATCGTGGGTATCAGGGAAGCGTAATCGGGCGAGGGTTAACATCAGTGGCCCCGGCGTGGTTCAGGACCACATGCTGGGGCCCACAACACAACAATTGTGGCCACCACAACGTCATCACCCGCAGTAATCAATGTGTGTCCCTTTGCATTTAGTTGCTGACCTCCCAGGCCTGATCGAGGGAGCAGCGGAGCGGAATGCCGGTCTGGGTTCTCAATTTCTCAGCCTTATCGAGGGTTGCGCCATGCTCTTGTATCTCGTCGATGTGGGCACCTTCTTGGCCGACAGGGGCCAGGCGTCGGCGTCGGAGGCCACGGACCACTTCGCCTCCCAGCTGGACATGCTCCACAACGAGCTGGCCCTCTTCAACCCCGACCTTGTCGACCCCTCCAGGGGGTGTTTGGTGATCGGCACCAAGTTAGACCTCGTTGTGCCCCCGTCTGGTGCTCAGGCGACCCTCGACAAGCTATCCGCCTGGCTAGCGGATGCGGCTAAACTGGCGGGTTTACCGTCGGCCCGATCGCTGCTTGTGTCTGCGAGGCGTGGTGACAATATTGACCAATTGGTTGAAATATTGAAAGATTTGAAACCTTGTAGAAAGTAATTACTATTTTATTGTTTTGAAGCGTTTTTACAATGGTCCGTGGTGTGTGGCTCCCTGGTTTGGCTTCATGCAGGCGAAGGTATTCACAAGTGTGAAATTAGCGTCTCCCACAAGAACGAATCCACTTCTTGCTAGTCAGAAGACCTCGAAAGTGTGTACGCTTTAGTGTGGAATCCGTAACTAGGCTCAGGTGCCATTTAAAATCCTGGAAAGTTTCTAAAAACAGTTTCCAAATATTCTGGATTTTTATTGTAAATTCACAAACGCCGTGGCCACAATTACCAGCATTAAACCTACGGAAATGGGGTAGAACAGGAAGTGTGATCTTATCAAAATTACGGGAGATCCAGTAGTGATGGAATTTAGGGAGGGAAATCAGCTTAACGTGCTCTGTTGTTATGGGATCATAAACGGCTTGTAGGTGTTTTCGGATCAACGAATGGAGGTGATTGCTAGAATTCGTTGACGACTTTCAATACGTCCCTACACCTAGACAAAATGACTAGGTGTAGACTTTCAACACCTCGATCTACGCCGTCACTCCGCCTCCACCGACATTGGAGCACGACTAGGCTGACGCCTTTAGCTGGCTAATTGAGTTTAATAAAATTCGGGTAAATTACGAATCGCTCAGTTGGAGACTGAAATTTAAAGCAAAACCAGAATTTGGGAGGTTGGTGTATTCCTAAAATTACTCGTCTTGTTTTCGACGTGGCCTTACGAGTGTTCGGAAATACGAGCCCTGACGATGTTTACAGCAAGATATGTTGATTTCCTAGTAAAGAAGTTATGAGATAATTCGTATCCTGCGTATCAACGAGGATTAGCTGTTTTAAAGCCAGTTGTGGAATCAAATTGGTTTTCTCTCGTTGTGAGAGCTACTGTGACGTGATTTCTACTCGTCGAATCTCAAAGTCTGTAGTCTGTGTCGTGAAAATTCAGACTGGAGTAAATGATAACAATTGACTTCGCTCTAAATTGCAATGCAGTCAACCACGTCCGTTCTACTGTTCCTGAAGGTAACACTGTAGAATCCGTCGACTATTCTCCCAAATCTCAATCTCGCTGTCTAATTAACAGAGTTCTCCGGTTTTGTAATCGTACAAAGCCTGGTTAGGTCGCAGGTAAGTGGGTGTTACGAGGAATTCGGACAGTCAACAAAGGGTGCTAATCACTGTGAAATCGGCCAAGTCGTCAATTGCGCCGAGGGCGTAATGCAAAAATGGGGGAAACCAACCACCCCCAGATATTTAAAGTTTTGTATTTTGGAAATAATAATTGTCGGTTATTTAAAAAAACGAGATGTTAATATGAGTCGATTTGAAGGCGAAATAAACGCGCTAACGTAAATCTACTGATACAATGAATGTCTCCTGACAATCGTTGGAAGGTAGTAAAATCTCCAACACAATGAACGCAATCTGTTGGGGGTATATTTGTTTAAATAAAAGTTTCATTGCAATGCATTTTGAGTCCTCATTCGGATTTGGGCAAATTCACCGATTTTAAACTCGTTTTTTTGTAGTTGTGGTTTAGTTTCGCTTTTACTAAGATCGTGGCTACACGATGATGTCGGCGGGTTGAACACCGGCGCGTTCACATTAGCTACAGACCAAATTCAACTGCAGCTCACTCGTTTACTTCAGGGCTCAACCAAAACTGGTGTCGTTGTGTCGAGTATGGGGTTCGCGCGTGTGTATTTATACCTCGGATGTGTGAGTCATACGTGCGCTAACATCGAGACCCAGGTGTGAGGGGGAGTTGAGGATCCGCGCTGCTGGCGACATGCTGCGAAAAGGGGAACCCTGTGTAGGAGGCGGCGCGATCGGATTAAGGGATGTGAATAAACACGAGTCACAACAACATACTGGCTGATTCTCCGCAGTTAACACCCATTTTTGCTGAGTGGTAGTCTAGTGCTCCTCTAGTAACGTCAGAAATCGCAGATTTCGCACTCGTCAGATGCCTCGTTTCCAACAAATTGTATAGTGTAGTGTCCAATGCGTAAACACAGCATGGTTTTAGTTGTGTTATCTAAATCAACCCCAAATGACATTCCGTTCTGGCTATGTATGCAGGTAGGAATTACAGACAATGGCACATAAAATAAGAGGAATTGCAAAAGAATTTATTAGAATACCGCGCGCAGCAAATGTTTTACTAAGACCAATGGTAATAAATACACATTTTGCGAAACACAAGTTCGTCCAACCACGTTCTACAATTCAGGCTTCATTTCTGTAGAGCCGGCTTTAGCACAGACGGTCAAGTCAATTACGAAACCGTGTTTGCTGCTAGAAGCGGTTATCCTAAACACGCGCCTCTCCACTCCACGCCATCACCACAACCCCTGCGTTTTCCGGTGAGCAGTCAACGAAACAAACCTAGACTAAGCTACTGATAAGCATGGACTTCTTCTGAGTAGTAACGCAGTACACATGTGGACTCTTAGCCATATTCTACTTGTCTCATGTCCGGTTTTATTCAGGCCAATAATTCATTATTGGCGCGAGTAAATTATTTACGCTGCATGTGTCAGTGTGTTTTGCATGCTAAACATACTTATTCAATCGTATCAAGAAATCCAATTACATTGGACACCATTGCAAAAAACTAAACGAACGAAAACTTTTCCCCAACCGGATGGGCTGATTTCAATTGAATTAAAAACGATTCCGCACGTTCCAAGTGCAACACACGCGTACCACGTTTTAATCGCTGTAGTGAAGATAAGCAATAAAATCACCATTTAGTGTTTTGTGGTGTCGTAAAGCGTAAACTGTGGCGCTTTTATATCGTGTAGTCACGGAGAGAGCGAAGCCGCGGCCACACGTCGTGGGATTAGTGCGTTTTCACGAAACCTGTGTTAGATTTTAGAGGCCAGGGATTCGTTAATTTAAAACAAAATCTTCAGTCTGCTCGGTTCGAGCATTCATGTCAACAGCAGTAACTGCTATCAACCATTGTAACTGACTGTAGTCAGAAATCTTGGGAATTAAGAGGTCTGATGCTAAATGCCCAGCTTTGAAAACAGCGTCAGTGCAAAATGTGCGGGTATAGGATCAGCTCCAAAGGAGTTAATTTAAAAAAAAAGGTTGCAGCATCCTAACTCCATAATGTCCTGATAGTCGGAAATGGACGTAATGTAGAATTTGATAATGATAGCGGCCAATAATCGGGGTATAAACTAAGCTGCAATTTAAGTAATATGAAAAATTTCAAAAAGCAACCAATCACTAGCGTTGGTCCTATTCAAAAAGGCGAGATTTGACAACCGCGAAATGGGTTCCAACGATTGCAGCTTACGAATTCGTTCTCACGGGGCGATTTGCAAGGAAACATCTTGGTGTTTAAAAAAAGGTGTTTTTTGTTAGGCAGGTTGATGCTGGAAGCAATATATGTGCAATCGTTGTTCGCTCATTTGGATTTGTGGCTACGAGTCCACATGTGTACTGCGTTACTACTCAAAAGAAGTTCATGCTTATCAGTAGCTTAGTTTGGGTTTGTTTCGTTGACTGCTCACAAAAAAGCGTGAACACCTTGAAGCGGGCCCCGGTGCGGTTTTTGGGGAACCACACCGGGGCCGGCGATCTGCGTTGGCACGGCTCGATCGAAAGAAGAGCACCGATGCAGGTGGCGCGAAGCTCAACTAATTTAATAATGCAGTAGCGTCGGTGTGTGCATTGTAGGGGGTAACGAGTGCGTTCGTACAGCTTCCCAAAGTATCGATCTACGAACGAGCGGAGTTGTGTGAAGTGCGCTCACGAAAAAATCGATTGATTTGTGTTCGCTCACGTGGAATTCGCAGTCACGTGACACCAACCCGTGTTTTGGAGGACTGCTTCTAGCAATGACGACGGTTTCAAAATGTGGATGACACCGTCTGCGCATTTTTCACCAGGGCCTTTGGATGGGCAATGCGGCGAAGTTATACCGCGCATTGAGAATGACACAAGTAGGCTGAATTGCAGGACACGCCTACAAGCATTGTCGTCTTTCTAGGTATGCCCTGGCTTTCTCGACTAGTGCACACCGAATCAGTTGTCAGTTGTGTTGCTACGATCAGTTAACCACTTGGAGTGCACGTGGCATTTATTATTTATTGTTGTTTTTAGTAGCATATTTTGTTGTGCGCTGTAAACCAACAAACTCCCATGTGATTTTTGCTTATTTTAAACAAAAACCAACTAATGCCAAAGTAGTCCAGAAGACTCAAAAGTCACATCAGCCTGCTGACAAAAATGCTCCGTGTCAGATTAACTCCTGATTACTTTATTCTCATGATTTTTTTTAAAATAATAGCAATAAATTAAAAATAAAAATGAGCTTTCAATTCCCACCTCAAATTGTTTAACCATACTTTCTTGATTAAAGAATTTGATCTTGACCTCAAAATATGTCCGTTTTTCTGTTTTCTGTGTGGAATTACTGTCCTAGGCGAATCATCGTTGTATTCAAAAAAAATTGATGGCAATTAGCGCTGATTGTCTAACCAAAATGGCGAAAATAAAAAGGCAATTTAAAAGATAGTTTCTTTAATGCTCTCGTCCCCATTAGGCGCATTTTCATAGATGGAATCGTTTCGGGGGTTGCTGTGTGGAGTAGAAAAAAGGCAGGCATTTTTGAGCATTAATTGAATGGGAAAAAATCGGCAGCAACAGGAGAATTGTTTGGCTCGAGTTGGGGGGGATTTTGTGGCGAAAATTTACGGCACGCGACAGTCTTTGTACCATGAAATATTCGTTCCGGCATGTCCTCTCTGATGCAACATGGCGTCTCACAAACTGACTGCGATATTTTCCGACTTTCTGTGCGTGTTTGTTACGAAAACAGAACAGACGTAAGATTTTCATGACAACGTGGCTTTGTCAAGTCGCTTTAAACACGATATTAGTGGCTTCAAACGACATCACGTTTACTTAATCCCCTGAAAACTTGGCATTTTTCTCAAAATGTTAGTGAAGAAAAGTTCGAAATGCTCAGGGAAGTTAAAAAAGTCTTCCACAACTTCTCCAAAGTGCTTTGGTCAGAAGGACCAATCAGACTTAACTTCTAGTAAAACAGGAAATAAAATGTGCTTTTGGTATATTGAAAATATGCTCAGTTGTAAAAAAAGATTAATGATCAGACAGGGATTAAATTGATCACAAATTGTGTTTCGATGACAACGAATTAAGTACAATTAGCACCCATGAAACGTCATCCCGAGGTTGTCAAAGCAACCCTCTGGAAAAGGGATATCATGGCAGAGTTTATAAAAAAGACACATTTGGGCTAAATTTAGTGATAATTTAATAGGTTGTGACAGTCTTTAATCAGAGGGAATTACTACTGCTTAGGCTTGCCAATGACATTTTGATAATTACCAAGCGCCGTCGCAAGATAAATTCAAGATTCCAGTAAGCATTAATTACCTGGCAATTTTAGCGACTATACTTCGGGTCATTATAGGCTCTGCTTACAACGAGAAACCATCTGCCATTGATTTTGTTTAGCTTTAGGACCAAAAAAACGAGATATTCCGGCTTATTTGCATTCGGTGTACTGACATTTTAGAATACAATTACCACTTATAGTACTAAAATCAGTGGCTCAGAGCACAAAACTGGCTTTGAGTAAAATATGTGAGGTAATGGGTGGTGCCAAATTTGTCCTCACAACCTTAGTTCTTGTTAGAATTTCCTCCAATGCAAAACTGGTGTGCAGTTTACACAAACTAACCGTTCCACTTGTGGTTTATTATAACACAATCCAATTCGTTAACGTGGCTGCATATCATTGCCTTAAACTGCAAGTTCATCAGTTATGGGGATCAGAACGAGCACTCTTTTTACCAAATCGTTGGAGACTTTGTTAGCATAAAGGATGCACCATTCTAGCAAACTGATGCTTAATAACTGGACCAAGAGTAAGTTGCTGGCCATGGTATTACAGCGTATCCGCACGTCGTTTAGAGCACTGTGATCGGCCTCAGCCAATGGAAAACGCGTTTCGCGCTGCAATTGGTCGAAATTCTGTATAAATAGTTAACGACGTAACTTCCTAAAGTGTAAATTTAGGCTAACGCAAAAGAAGCGGAATGGTCGCATTCAAACAAATCGTCCTTTTTGTGATCTTCGTTTGCACCGTCGCACTGGTGACGGTGCCTACACAATCAGCTAGCCTCTATGTAAGTCGCTGTCACGTGGATTTTTCTTTTAAATTCCCGCATGCTCTCTAAGTTGTCCGAAAAATACCCTTTTGCCATAATACTTTAGTCTTAGTAAATCAAGTGTTCAAGTCCATGCAGGTAAGCATGAAGTTATGTGAATTTCAGAATGGAAAGACTGTATACGCACAGACATGTAGGTTTAAAGGTTAAAATTAAGTGGTTCCGCGTGCTTAGATTCACATCCAAGAAAACACATCTCCTAACCAATGGAGTACTTAGTTTATCGCTGCAATTTGCTGAATAAATTTTGCTAGTTTGACGGGCATAACATCTCCCAAGAGTATACGATTTCCCCAAATATGGGAAGTACAGGAGTGAAAACTTTCCTCGGATTTGGCTGGATTTACCAAGATTAAAAGTCGAGAAAATTCTCCCATTTCTCGGGAAAATGCACTATGTGCCTGGCCAGGTTAACTGGATGACAGTGATCTGGATCTTTTTAAAAAATAAAAGAACAATGGTGTACCTGCCTACCTCCTGTTTGGCAGCAAGGAATACTTGAGGTCGTTGTAATATGATTAACAAGTAGCATATTTCTTGTAAAAAAGAGGTGTTAATTGAGAAAAGAAACATTTTTATTCCTTTTTAAGATCTCTACCTCGAAAACTAATCACACAATTTTAAAACTTCTCCAACTTGAGTGGTTTAATTTAAGTCGATATGGAACCTCTTCTGAAATTACTAAAAAAAAGGTGTATTAATCCAACCCGAAATCTGTGATCTTTTTGAATTGTAGGATGGAGGTGAATCTGCCTACGATGACGGCGAAATGGTGGAAATTCCCTACAGGATCGTGAAGAAGTGGACGGATTTCAAGAAACGCGCACATCCCAGACGTGTCCTTCTGCCTCGATTCGAGTAGCGGACAGAAGCATTCCACCTTGAAACCTTTAAAACATTCTACTTGTTGGTTTTAGCTTACAGCAGATATGCATTCCTGAATGGTTTACTTGTGCTTTGCGGTATCAACTGGTAAGAATTGGCTGGGTATGACACGAGAGTGTGGTAGTTTAAGTCAAGCATCTTTAAATAGTATTTTTTCGACAAAAACTAACCACATTTTTGGGTGCCAGAAGTTCTTATTCTAGTCAACCTTTCCCTCAACGCGCAACGAACGATGGCGTAATTTTCAGCAGTGAGTAAGCTAGAACGACAAAGTCGCTTGATTTTGGTTGTTGATAATTGTATTGTAAAGCATTTATATTACCTAATCCAAGTAATTGACGATAATGGATGCGAGATTTTGTCATTACCTAAAAGAGGCTCAAGATTGAGATGAAATTTGACCCCTAGAAGGATTTTGTGACCTGATTTCCCAAAGTTGTTTTCAAAAACTGTTTTTTTGTTCTACTTCGTAGTATAGAATGTAATAAAACATCCGGATTCTGGGTTTTTCAGGGTTTTTAATCACTGTAGGTCCGAAATTCATAAAAAAACCGACAAAATAAGTAAACCAGGCAAAAAAGTACAACACGTTGGAATGTACTTAAAAAAATAATTCAAATAAAGTGACGATTCCCCTTATTGTTCTACTAGTTTCTTTGGTTATTTGCCAGGTGATTTCCTATCCAAACTGGTTTAATTTAAGCAATTTTTGTTTCATTCCTAACAATCATATTATCGTAAACTCATTTCTGTGGGCAGAAATTGCATAATAGATTTTGGAACCCCTGGAGGTTAATTATTTTCGAGTAGCGCGATCAGACTCATAAATTTCTCGCTTACACATGATGATTAATGCGATCTAATTTACCGATCTCCACGTGTAGGTTACTGCTATTATAATCCATCAATAACAGTATGATCACGAAGTATGCACACTCGCTGATCACCACTTTAATTGCTCGCAGTTTAGAAAGAAACTTTTTATTAAACAAATAATTCACAACTAAAATACCAGTTTCCACATTGCACAGTGGCTATTGAAGGCGAGAAACGCCAGAAATGATTAATGCTTGGTGACCTTCCGGTTGTATTTTCTGTTTCTAAGTAATCTTTTTATGGGGACTTGATTTCAGATACTCAAAATTGGATGTTTAAAATGACGTAAACTTCAAGAAAAGTACAAAACAAGTCATAGATCTGTCTGAGCGCTTGATATTCAACAGTACAACAACTTCCGTGGTTTCCTGCGACTTGATCTCATCTATAAAGTTTAAAAAAAGTACTTTATACCTAAGCAATATTAACTTGTCTTATTTTACTGGAAACTGTTAGCTTTTGGCTTTAATATACGATAAACACCAAAAAGCAAAGCACGAAAGCAAACACTTTCACGTGCTAACTGCTGAGTTAGTTTTAGCTGAGAGTATTATGCGATAATTTGTTCCCACGCGAATGCATATCAGCTTGCTGATTGGCTGGTCCATCATAACCAGACAGATTAACACGACGTGTTCATTGTTTGACTATGAAAAAAAATACTGAAAGGGTGACGTCCCAACAAGATATACCTTATGTGGAAATGGGTCTTTTAAAATCGCAAAGCTTAAGGTTCACGCCGGCCTTCACCATCAGTGCAGGTTTGACTTTTTTCCATTCGTCGCTTTATTTCATATTTACGCCGAAATACTAAGTTCTGAAGGCATATATTTTTTTAATTGAAATTACAGAATTTTTTTTGAGACAAGCTCTCAATGAAGTTGGGGCCTGGAACCATGAAAAATGAGCAGTCACAAAGCAGGTGCTCAATTAGGGCTACACAGTCAGTGGTCCGTAAATTTGATTGGTTGGTGACCAGACAGTGCTTAAGAAGTTGAGCGCGTATTAAAATCTGGGATCCATAGCATTCGCCACATTTAATTGGATTGTTTTTGTCCAATGAACTACGTGCAATCACTTTTCATTTAGTTAAAGTCACTTCATAAAACGCACAAACGGGCGCTTTCAACAAGGGTATTTATCTCGTGAATCACAGGCGATAGTGGTTTGGAATTCATCAACCAGAGAACGTCTCATGATGGCTGTATAACCCTACTCTCCATGCCTCAGGAGAGAAATAAAGGTTTTGGTATAAAGGAAGAAACAGATGACCACAGAACCAGTCATTTACTCTGATTGTTGTGGTATATATTGTTTATCAAGAAACAAAGCCAAGTAATATGTAGGAAGTTAAAACCGACTTTAGCGGTTTTCATTCCTGAAAATAAGGAGACTTGGACGAGCCGAATTTTGTGAGTAGATGTGGAAGGTATGACAAAACACTTAGCTTTTAAAAGACAGTAAATTTATCCTAAAAATTCCGAAAACACATCTGACGTGTTTTCATACGGTACCTTGGGACATTAATTCACATGGAGAGCAAGTTATTTTAATTCCAGAATCAAAAAAAAACATTCAATATCAGAAAACCCGGTACATTTTAAAAATCATCAGTTACACACCTCAAAAAACACTGACTAACCCATTAGATTGCTTCGCGGATTGCGTCCATTTCGACTCACAACGTGTGTACAAATAAACATTGCGCCTAAATGAGGCGTTTGAAGACAATTCCAGTGATAGATTTTGCCCTTTTCGACATAAAATGTCGAAACATTTTCCTGCATGCTGCTTGTAAAACTTGACGGCTTGAAGGTGATGTAAAACGCCTGTTTTTATTTCCAAAAGGAGAAAGTGCAATTACAGCCCACCACTCTGCACTTTTAAACTGTACTTTCCGTTTAAGTATAAGCGAAAAACAATCCAAAGCACCGTCAAATTTCACTGCTGGTCAAATTTGCGTTTCTCCGGACAATTTAATTGTGAAATCAAAATCGGTCACCGTTTTATTCACACCCTTTTTGTTGAACGTGAATGCCTTTTTTGGTGGCAACATTTGCACCCTTCACAATGACAGATCTTGTGTGGGCCAATCGCTAATAACCTCCCTGGTCAATGTGACTCAACACATTTATAGCCTGTTCATTCAGGCATTTTTGTATGAATCTTACTTTCAAGCAAGATCTTAGCAGCAGCGTTGCCCAAAAGAGACAACAGATGTACAAATGGGGTCATCGCTACTCGCCATTAAAAGTCAACATTTCGGTTAAAGGTCACGAGGTGGACGATTTTAGACATTCGTAAAAAAAGTTGATTCTTAGTATACGATTGCATCAGCTACGTCGTGCTGTCACTTTACGGGTGTCAAAGAATAATGCAATCGTATAGTGGTCTTGCTGATTGCCTGTCAACTTTTGCATCAACGTGAATGAACACACGGGTCAGTATGTCCACTTGCCGTAACTACGATTCCAGCACTGCTTAAAAATGGTTGTTTTCAAGCAAAACGTGGCAGGATTCGAGTATTTGAATTAACATTTAAAGAAGTAATTTAGATGTTCTGTTCAAAAACTTGTCAACGAATGCTTAAGTATTGTGAGCATCTGAGCAATGTAAACCAATCACCAGCTAAGAGATGTTCGACTAGCCTGGTATTCTAAATTAGTCCTGAGTAAGACATCGGTTTGCTAAAATCTTAAGCCTGGTAAAGGATATAACTTCCCAAATTGCGCTTTGGCTGCTGGCACTGTTGGAAACCTATTACGCCTGAATTTTTCGTGGCCTAAAACGAGACTGCTGCCCGGATGCAGACCTCGAGCGCAAAATAATCGATTTCCTCGTTGGCAGGCTATCAACTACCCATATGAGCACTCAGGCTGAACACGTATGATTCTGCACCTCTCCACGCAAGTGCAAAGCAAGACCTCATGCAGAATTTTATTTGTCCTGGCCAAAGGCCTGGTCCACATCTTTATGCGTCAATTTGTATATAACGTGGGTGGCCTTGAGAACGGGTAAGGGAAATAGTGCACTCAAGTATGAATGGACCAATAGGAAGAAGGAGGTTGATTTGAATTCGAAATCCGCGGCGCATAAACGTGAATTTTAATAAGAAAGATAGATAATTGTGAAACTCTTGAAAAACATATTCTTAGGGATGCTGAATCATCAATTGAGGCAAACCTAGTCCTTATACATGTTAACCTGTGGAATAGAGAGTTCACAATAAACTAAATCACTACCCTTGACGAGTTAATGGAAAGCCCTCTTCTTCTACCTGAGACGGACAGGAAGCCTGCAAGTAATTTTAGTCCAAAATATTAATCAGGACTTTTTTGTAAACATCATGTCTGAAACGCACTCTTTACTTAAAACCCTGGAAAATACAACCAATGCAAATCCAGACCTGTAACTGCTGAAAGGATCTCACTACAAATAACGCATGATCGGCCAGAGTTCTTACAAACTGCGGACAGGGCATTATCCCGGCACACTGAATGCCATTTCAGCCAACACTGTCTCTCTATCTATCTCTCTCCTGTTAAATTCTTTCTTTGGGTACCTCGCGTTTTGTGAAGCAACTGTAACAGTGGTTTTCGCTTTTTTTCAGTCAAACGGAGAATTCCGAGACACAAACGGCATTGTTTCCTGTTCGCTTAGCTCGTTGTCACTGAAAGCTTGTGTGAATATTGCATTAATGCGTTTCTTTCCCAACAAAATTTGCTTTCCTCCGCTTGCAATATGTTTAAGCAGGGCATAAGCCATAAAAAGACCACCGTTCGCTCATTTAGTGAGATCAAAATTTCTGAAAGTAGTGTCAGCTGGGTTAAACACAAAATTACATCATGGGACCAACAATTAAGAACTGTAATTGATCGGTGTGTCACTCAAAGATGAAAAGCGTTGTTACTGAATTGCTGTGTTTCTTGGTCTAGAAATAAGAAAACCAAGAATTGAAATTGAACCTGTGTTTTCGAACAAGATCTATGGGAACCCAAAATGCAGGCGAGACAAATTTTCCTTGAGTATTTTTTTCGAGATTTTGACATGCATTTGAGAGGCTTTGATTTGACAAGTAAAACACGCACCAACTATTGGAAACTGCACTGCACAGGTAGTTCGTCCTTTAAGAAAGTCAAATGTGCTTTCTCAGGAAAATGCTGGATTTGAACATGTGCGTCAAAATGAACCGCATTCTAGTAATCTAGTGGCTAAACTCAATGACATAACGATTTTCCAACCGTCGGTTAAATTCTATTGGTCAGGAGCGAACAGATGTCACAGCAGACCAACGTTGAAAGACGGCTGCTTTAACGGTGCATGGTGGTGCGCTGTTGTATTGACGAGGGGGGCATTTTTAAGATAGTAGATCGACAGAAGCGCAGGACTATGGTGAAGGTCATGCAGTTGTGTCTGTGTCATGGGACGGGAAGCAGTGGGGCGCCGTAAAAGCAACTACATTGAGTAGGCACGTGATGGTGGGTTGAATAACTACCAAGTCACGCGTCGACCACACTCGTGTAAGCGATTGGAAGCATCCCGCAGCTGCGATGATGACATTGGTGAGAAAGACGAGAACGGGACGTGTTGTGGATATATTTTTTAGTTGTTAGTAAATTGAAACCGCAATGCAAGTAGAAACAAGGTAATGATATGTTATTAAAAATTCAAAAGATGTCATTTTTGGCAGAGTGAATTCCGGTTATTCACTCTCAAAAGGCGTCTGATATTAAAAATTAATCGATCAATAGATTTCACACTGCCAAAACCACCGATGACTCAAGTCGTTTGCATAATTATCAACACGGTTAAGCTAGTAATCATTTATTGATTTTCCTAAATCAGCATGAAGTAAATATGTGCAGAATAATATCAATAAATCGATAAATATAGTATCTTTGAAGACCGAATTGCAGTAAAAACAGCCTCTATATTAAAAGATTAGTCATACTTTGAATCGAGATTAATAATATCTACTTAAAATATTAGTATTTTAACATCACGTGTCTCTAAAGTTATCGAAATTGAAGTTAAAATTGTTTGCAAGTGGAAAAGGATTAAAGGCAGCATTTTCCAGAATTGCATGCAATTTTAAGGTAAAAGTAATGGCGATGAGGGACAAAACAAAACTTGTGAAAAGTGCAAAGAATTTTTAAAAATTCAAATCATTGTCACGTATATCCTTCTAGTTGTGCCACTTGTTATAGCATGTAAAATTTGAGTGAGCGCGTGTATTAACCCTGCCCCTGGCACTCTGTGCATTATGGTGTTGCTGTGACTCGTGTTTCTTCACACCCCTTAAACCGGTCGCTTCATCCTCCCACGCAAGTTTCCCCTTTTTGCGGTATGTCGTCAGCCGTGTGGATCCCCAACTCCCCCCTCGTTCGCACTAATATTTATCCTGGATTAACCCCATACCTAGATCTCGAAGTTGGCGCATCTATGATGGCTCACGCATCTGAGGTATGAGTACACACGCGAGAGCCCCACACACGACACAACGACACCAACGTGGTTGAGCTCTGAAGCAAACGGTTGTGTCCACGTCCTCTCCGGTCTTTTTCTTCATCGCGGATATCAGGCAAGCGTAATCGGGCCAGGGTGAATTCCGTGGCCCCGGCGTGGTTCAAGACCACATGCTGGGGACCACAATAATGCCGATTGCTCGTACGCGTGGGCGCTGCGTTTTTCATGCCAACGAACGCATTTTTCTACGATTTCCGTTTAAACAATTCCATACAAATTGTCCCAACTTCTTGTGCAGTGTCTCTGAACATGAGCTAACAGCTTCAGCTACATGAGACAGGAATAACTGGACGTTTTTTAGAATTATCCTTTGTCCATCAGAGGAACAGCCACAAATTATCTTCCGAGAGGTATTTCGATTTAGAACGTCTTCAGAAAATTACACCATGACGACCTAAGCGGAGCAAGGCTAGGAGCGACCACTGAAGTTGGTGTTTACTACACTTTTTATTGCGATGGGCAGTTGTATGAAACAAACCAGGGCACAAGACAAACGGCCGTCCTGTGGATGCATTCTTAATGGCTTCTGAGTTAAAGAACAGGTTATGTGTTTTGGTTGACGCCTGTCGCAGACATTTTAGCATTTTATTTGTCAATCTGCACGTAATCAATATCGTAAAACCAGTTTTGATATTTTGGATGACCTCATTTTTCATCAAACATTACACATGAAGAAACGCTACGTGCACTCGGACATTGGGCTCCCCGCATCGTCCTTAGACCACTAAAACACTTTGTGATCACATTATCAATAGTTTACAAGATTCAATTTATATCAACTAGGTGACTTTGATCGGTAAAAAGAGTAAGTCGCAGGCATGATGTCAGAAATGATATGGACTGCGTGGTATTTTTAGCAAACAGGAGAGGATGGTTTATGCCTTCAAGATAGCAATCAATGCCGCATTCATACCTCAAGTATCTTGTTACCTGCTGCGTAAAAAGGTATCAAACAAGGGGATGACGTCTTAGACTATAAACCATTTGTGAGACTTAGGTCAAATAACAACATTGGTACATCCTGTAATATGACAACCAGATGGCTAGACCTTCCCAATATGTGATCTCATTAAAAAATATCTTGTGGGGTGGGGAGGCAGGGATTGTGCCACATAACGCCATTAAATAATAGTGGCATGGGGCTTAAAGGACTGGACGCAGAGTTTGGAGGTCGATACAACGTATTATTACGTTGGCGCATGTTGAGTGAGTTCATTAGGACTAAACAAACGAACTCAGTGGAAAACATGTCTGAAACGTATTTTCAATAGACAGCCAACGTCTCAAAAAACAAAGATAAATAGCTAAACCTGATTTTTTTAACTTAACCAGGTTTCGCTGATTGATACACAAAACAATTGTTTAGAAAAAAACGATCTCCACGGTCAGTTAATCTTATTATATACTACAGACTATACGTCATTACTCAACGTTTTCACTACCATGATAATTAGCCTAACATGCAGATATATATTGCCCGAATAGTTCGGCCTTGCGTAAAAGAATTATGTGTACTGTTAGACGACATCAAAAAGAGTTGTCTGTAATGCCAAAGTGTGTAAGTCCATGTTGCAGAGATTGTCGAATTAGATTTCAAATTTTTATTAAAAAATTCGACAACGAGAAAAGAAGTAGTTAAGACTGGCTTAAACAAATTGTATTCTTCAACATTAAGGGAGATTTTCTACACCACAGTCTGATAATTTGGAATTACTTTAAAACTGATTTAACCCCGTAAATAATCATCAAGGGATCAGGACGGCCATAATAGCCCTGCCCACTAATAAATAATGATAAAGAGCCAAATTTGGTTAGGCCACCAAAATTGCAATAGCCACGGCTCTCAGAAAGCTAATATGCAATGCCACGTACTCATGAAAACTGCCTGAGACCAAAAATAGTTTAAAATACTTTGTTATCAACCAATTGAATGATTAACCAAACTAAGAAAACTTTACTCATAATCACATCACAACATTAATCACAGACTTTAAAAAATTTTGGATGCATTATAGTTGAAAAATTTCCTTTAATTTTTCGTAATTATTTGTACTAAGTTGGGGGACAAATGACAAACAATGTTAAATTTTTAATCGGGATCACCATGGACATCCAAAACTGTGTTTTTTCAACAAATATATTTTTCGATAGTAAGGAAATTTAATTTTCATGACTATTTCAGTATTTAGGTTAATAAGCGAGCACAATTAGATAAAATTCAATGCAACTACCAAACACTTAATTTAAACAAATTGTATTAAAATTAATTCGGTTTTATTTTCCCATTTTGAAAAGTATCATGCTAACGAGAAAGACACATTCAATGGGAGACAATGTCATAAGAGAATTGACAACGAACAAGAATTTGTTTTACTTTGTGTCAGGACTCGAGTTGTTAGTCGCCATTTTCGGTGAAAATGAGCAAACGCGCCTATTTGTGCATCACCGATGGCAGTGGTATGCGCCTATTCCCTTTTTATTTGGTTTAGAATCTGCAAACAATGATCCAAATGCATGGGCCATCGTGAGGCCACGTAAGCGTCGGAGCCGATGGTCTAATGCAAATGATGATAAAACTTACGTCCCTGGAATGCCCACACAGTTGCCCCCTAACCTTACTCCAGCTCAGGAGAAGATGTATATTTGTAAGCAATTTATGTAATATATTTTTTCGTCTAGTACAACTTCAAATTGAAGACATAACACGCCGTTTAAAGACTGGTGATTTGGGCATCCCGGCTAATCCCGAAGACAGGTACGTCCTTTATTGTTGTCGGTACTTATACCTCATTTTTCTTTGTCAACAGCAATGCGTTAAACTAACTCGTTTTTACACTAATAGGCGAGTATTAAGATATGGGACGTTAGATTTGTTGGGTAAACCCTCGAATACTAATGCTTAATCCTGTTTTAGTAGGGCTCCATCTATAAGATCGATGCGCTGGTAGATTTCACACGAAATTGCACATGCGTAAGGTATGAACTTTAGCGCATTGCTTTTAATTTAGCATTTTTGCCTTATCACAACCTGGATTCTCTCTCTTAAGGTCCCCCTCACCCGAACCCGTTTACAGTAGCGACGGCAAGCGTCTAAACACACGAGAGTACAGAACGAGGAAGACGATGGAAGAAAATAGGCACAACTATATTCAGCAAATGCTGGAGCTTAATCCCGAGTATAAACCACCCGTTGACTACAGGTATGTCTTTTGGTGATGGATTATTCCACAATAGGGCACCGCAAAACAAAATCACCGACAAAATTTTTATACCACAAGAGGATCATCCACACATAAACTTTGTTGGATTGCTCATAGGACCTCGCGGAAACACCCTCAAAGCTCTTGAAAAGGATGTAAGTAAACTCAACTTTTTTTGCGGTTGTCTCGCATATTTAGTAGATTGGTTTATTTATAGTTGTGTGCAAGAGGAAAAAGGTATTGAGGGGGACCATGTGTTGGTTGTTTTCCGGTGATCTCATTCGTTGTAACTTAATATTTTTCCGGCAACGCAAAGTAGTTGAACCCCACAAAGGTTCTTTTACTCCTGAGGACCATGGTTTAAACCAATAAAAAGATTACTTTGGTATAAACATTGCGTCTCTGATGGTCTCACTCGTACCTGTTCCCTCGTAATGCATCGGCAAGCCACGGATTGGGGTGTGTGCGATAACGCAAAATTGATGCCTCTCTGCAGCGCATATACTTTTGAGTGAAAAGGGCGTTTTCTTCTTTGTCAGCTTACTTAGAAGACCTATATTTATTTTTTTTTGTAGACTGGCGCAAAAATTATAATTCGCGGTAAAGGTTCAGTCAAGGATGGGAAACTGATACGGCGCGATGGCATGCCGATCCCAGGCGAAGACGAGCCTCTTCATGCCTTTGTCTCTGCTGCCACTCCGGAGTCGTGCCAGAAGGCCGTAGAAAAGATCCAAAACATCATCCGCCAAGGGATCGAGGTCCCCGAAGGTGAAAATGATCTTCGTAAATCACAATTACGTGAGCTTGCACTTCTCAATGGTACTCTTCGCGAGCACGAAGGGCTTGCTCGCCTTAGGGCGATGGCGGAGGCACAAACCATCGCTACGAATAAAATTCAGTGTTCGCTATGTGGTGGTGAGTTTATATCTGAAATCCGAAAGTTGACGAGGGCTTAACACCACTAACGAAATACGCTGTTTTAATCAGGTTACGGCCATCTTGCGTCGGATTGTAAATTACGCGACCCCTCGGTCACAATGGAGCAGCTGGGTATCAATCCAACAGAGCGCGCAAAGATGGACAGCGAGTACACAGCGCTCATGGCCGAGCTGGGCGTCGGCTACGGGGGTGGTGCCGCCAATTTGCCTCCCGGCGTTTGTAAGTTTTGAGTATCGTAGTAGGTACCCAGTTCTTCCCATTCATTGTACTTGATTTGGTACATGCGCATTCTATTAATGTGTTGGCAAACTACCCGCTTCATATACTCAGCCAACATCTAACGTCCTACAAGGGGGATTCTTACCTTCTAGAGGTCAATTTTGCATGACTCAGTGTAAGTTCAAAACGTGTATGAGTTTAGTCGAGCTTTTGCCAATGTGGCTGCATTCAATGACACCAATTATCCATGATTGAGGTGTCAATTTCATCAGCATGGATTTGTTTTAAACACTGAGGTTCTCATTTAGTATTGCAAATAGTAAATCCAAATCACCACCATTTGCTCCAACTATGTCACGATTTTAAACTTATCGCCAGTGAATATTTAGGCAATGTTTTGTGAACGTTGTGAACCTTTTCTCCCACACTTGCAAGTGCATCCCTTTATGTGAATGGTAGGTTATTGAATTTGCCGCCCCAAGTACGTGTTCAACGTGTCATCCACAATAGATTTTGCTCACTTTGAATGCTTTCTCACTGCAGCGCCTCCTGGTGTGAGGCCTGCGCGTTCGGGGCCTCCAAAGCAGCCTCCACCGCCTGGCGTCGCACCACCACCGGAAGAAGACGAAACGGAAGATAAGTCGGGTGGGCATCATCCGGTACCCCCCGCACCCGTTCCACCTCATCCCGCAGCTTGGGGGTACATGGGAGCGCCCGCTCCAAACAGTGCCTACCCCCCTGCTGTGCCACCCGCCGGACCACCTGGTTCCTACGCCGGTGGTCACTACCCCCCACCACCGCCACCGCCTCCCGTGGGCCACAGGGCGTACCAAGGGTGGTATGGACCCGGTCCTGGTGGGCCATGGCCTCATCCTGGACCAGGTGTGCTTTCCGAAGCGATAATGTCATTGTACACTAAACTTTCAGTAATTAAAGCAAGAGCCATACCTTATGCTCCCACCAGCTAGTTGTAATTGGTGTATACCCCGTAGAGTTAGACCGATTTATAGCAAGTTGTCAGATTGTAAATCTAACTCGTTTTGCCTTGTGGTTGGTGTATTAGCGCCTTAGTTCTTCGAATTAAATTGGTGCTCTGTTATTCCGCTAGACGAGGCATGTAGCCTCTAAAGCCGTTGACGCTCTCAGGCTCTGTAAATTACTCTGAAGCAGAGCTAACTGCCTTTTCACTCCTTTCAGGCGTACCACTTCGTCACATGGGCTACGGCGGAAACGAAGGCGGTGGCGCCGACTACTGGGCACAGAGCGCCGGCTATGGATATTGTCCCCCACCCCCTCCTCCCGCTCCCGGTCTCTGAGTGGTCGTGCGAGGTCGCTTGTGTATAGAGCACAACTGTTGCACAGTGAGATTAGGTGGACATACGTTGGAGGGAGCACATGATTTTACTATTCTTTGTGTGTAATGGATTAAGCAAACGTACGCTGAATTTCCTATTGTTTTTCACTTCAAACTTGCTCACTTGACGGAGGGTCTAACAGCAGGCTACTTTTGTCTCCGTCACTTACAAAACACGCGCCGATGACATCTTCAGGTTGTCGATTTCGAGTGTTCCCAACACCACTGAGTGAACCTAGGTGCTACTTTGTGGAACCGAGGAGAGCACGTTTATTCGCTCCCTCTGTCCTGCTTATTGCCGACCATAATGGGGGTATTTATGGACTGGAGCGAAGCCAGAAGTAGGTGGTAGGATGCTCTGGTGATCGCTAGTCTCTGGAACAGTCCATCTAGGGTGTGAATTTGCGGGTCTGTCGGATTGCCAGTCCATGCCTTACGCTGAGCATGGGTATTTTGGCTGTTACCGGTCCTACCTAAATGTCCTTCTATGCTGGGATTAAGCTGTGTGTTCTATCAATGTCTTTGGTTCTTGGCTGTTCTGTACGTCTGAGGGCATGTAACTTCTCTTCATCGTTTCTGGCGTTCACTGATCTGCTGCAGGACAAGTTCGTTTTTGAGCAGCAGGTTATTTAATATGCCTAGCAATAAAGTATACAACTAAAGGTAGTCTTGATCGACAAATTAGGGAGAGGCGTGGTGCTACAAAGCTGGCGAGGAAGGGGGGTTGGTTCACTTGGTCCCTGCGTGGTGTCACGAGGCCGGTGTTTCTAGACGAGGTAGCGCGGGGCGGAGGAAGGTATTCTCAAGATCGCCAGGGACTATTGGGGCGTCGTGAGCGTATCCCTGGCAGCGGTTGTATCCCTTGAAATCCTCAGTTACATTGTGATCTAACTACTGTACACTTCTCGAACCTGAAAGGTAGAATGAAAGAGGTGAAGCGCGGGACGGCCGCGTGGGGGCTGATCTCACCTCCGTGAGATAATCATGAGGGTCACTAAAGTTTAACAGAGATGGGAGGTGGCTATCGATTGTGGTCCTCTCCGGGTTCGGTCCAATGAGATGCAGCACAGCTGAGTTTGTTTTTTTTAAAGGAATGTCTGTTTTACTTTGGCTTACCTTTGGGTCATATGTGCTACAAATAGTGGTCCCGTTGACCTTGTTCTACTCGTCGTTCGAAGTTGCACCGTGTGTAGTAGTTAAAACAGCAGTTACTAACGCGTGTAGTTAACTTACCCTCAGGCTGTAGAGAGACCTCTCGCGCGCCACAGCCCCATTCAGTTCCGATCCATCTAAAGGTAGAATGTCAAAACTTTTATTCCGGCCATTTATTGGTTACGTCATGATGGTCTGGCGTTAGTAGACTGTTGTAGTGCCTTCACTCTTCGGTTAGACTACGTTTAGTGTTCGATGTTCACCTTTATTTTAGAAATCACGAATTAAGTCGTGCATGATTGCGTGAGCCCCTCTGAATTAACAATTGTGAGAACACTTCTCTTGGGATCTACATGCGTAATTAATAACAAAATTCAGCCGTTGATAGATCCGCAGACACGCTGGTAAACATGTCGGGAAAAGATCACTAATTATGATCAAGTGGGAGAGCTATCTGCTGCCATCGAGTCGCTGGCAATGCCACTCTGATAAACAACACCAATATATTCTTGAAGGCAATGCCTCAGAGAACGACAGTTTGCCTGAATCATGGGCGTGCCGGACAACTTACACGTGAGCTGGAAAGCGGTATTGGGAGTTAGTGAGAGGGTCGAGCACATCGATTGATTCGCACAGGTTTCCATGCCCACCGGGTTCTGCCACCGGTCCGATAGTGCACCTCTCAAGGGGACCCAGGTAAACTGCCTCCAGCCGACAAACGTAGACCTATCAAGACAAATGGGACTCAACTGCTCCCTTGTCTTGTGGTAGGTCGGTTCATTATAAACAATATTTGATGTCGCAATAGGACAAAGCAGCACCCTGGTTCATCAATCGGTACACGAAAACAGTGGATTAAGCAAAACTGCATTCAGACTATTGAAAAATTGTAAATCTGGAGGTGTGTTTATAGATTCACTAGCTCACCGCTTGTATCTCGGTTTAATTAAATATGCCTACGCCATTTTAACGAGTCATTTTGATGTCAAAACTATTATTAGCATTCTGAGGGTAATTTGCAATTTTCTTCGGCACACGTCCTGTTGGAAAATTTTAAATCCCTTCTCCTAACCAAACTCACACATCTGACCAGACAAAATGATAAAAATAAAGAAATTTCTTATTGGAAAATTTTCTATTTTGCCTAAATTAACCCAGCAAGCACTTAGAGAAACGTGACTGCATATATGAGGCAACCAACAACCTACCCTTTTCTTAGTTGTTATGACTGGATTTTTGACTTTAGAGATTTTTTAAATGGGCCTTCGGGTTTTCATTTTAGTAATAAACTTTTAGACAGGCTAGGCGTCTACCATGTTTAAGGAAAGCCTTGACCTTTAAACAACCAATGATTTCACTGCAAGTACAACAAATGGTATTGTCCAATTTAGGAGACACAGCTGGTCATGACACTCGTCTGACTATACTATACTGTAAAGATCGCGGATTGTATACAGGTGTCACATTAATCTTGAGCTACGTTATCCACAGACTTTAAAATACATACTTTTAGATCTCCATTCCCTTCACTGGGTTCGGAGTTGTTGAGGCCAACCGTTCGCCGACCCGTGCCACCATAGTGTCCAAGAAGAGAAATTTTTGGCCCACTGTAGAACCCTCTGATGTCGCTCGGTGTCACCGTTTCATCACTTAACGCCAAACGGAGCTTCACGCTGTAGACCACCAGTCCAACGCTCGGGTCAAGTTCATCGGGACTTAACACCTCCAAAGGGAGACGCGCCCTCACCTGTTGATCAGGCTCCTTTCCACAAACTACTTGCTCTCTACTCAGTTGACAATTGCTATAGGTTCGCATAAATGGCCGATTGGTAAAGTCGAACATGACGCTAGCGTGGGTGACCATATTTTCAAAGATTACCTATGTGTGGAAAATTACGGTTACTCATTTGTTTTAAGTACGTGTGATTACAAATTGCTGCGTACCAGGTAGAGTCCCCAGTAGGGCAGTTTGGATTCATTCACCGGACTAACTTCCAGTCGTATCTTGAAAAGTGGACCGATGTCGGCCAAGTTGATCTACTTAGAAAGAGCAAAAATGGGTTCCGTTAGTGTTAATTGAGTTTTCCCCTGCGTGACATGTGATAGACAATGCTTGCCTTGAACTCGTCAATGTTTCCAGCACGGAATAGTGCATTTTCACCGTCTGAGGATCCAAGAATAATCGGTCCAGAGTCACCGCGAGCACCGTAGACAACGAGAACAACGAGGGAGTTGTAGGCAGACTCTGATGTGTGCAGTTTCACCTTCCAGTCCGATTCTAGAACGAGTAAGGCTGCCGATAACTATTCATTTCTACTTGACTATTGCGGATGAGATAAGAAGAAAAAAACGGCTAACGCGATGGCAATTTGTGAACTCGGTTCTCGCTGTTGGCAGTGGGGGATTGCGAAAAACTGCAATATTTCTTAAATGACAATAAAGTTTTTATAAGTTCTACTCTGTTTTCGAATAAAGATAGGACATCAAACCACAAGGAAATCATTAACAATTTCGGAAAGCTGTGATCCCTGCGCCACCGCATTTTAGTTTCTCCCAGATTTATAAATGGTACCGCCACAGCTACATTCTCATCTGATAATGAAAATTTCCGTCATAATACTTGGATAGTTTTTCTCCAAGATGAAGGATGAATAAGTGCTCGATCCGCAATACTGGTGACAGTTCATCTGATTGATTCAGAAAGTGGCAACCCGTTTGCGGAAAGCCACCAATTTATAGGAGACAAGAGCGGAAAACGGAAATCGATTTGCCTGCATGAAGTTGCAGGTCAAAACCCTTACTTCAGCATTCAAAAAGGCCTCAAAAGGTAATTATCTGCACCGACTTCGGGTAGTTTAGTAGTAGTCTCGACAGGATGATCTTCGTCGATATTATGAAGCCCATTTTCCCAGAGGCGAGTGATTTACCCTCTTCGTCTACGCGCTCAGATGCTACAAGATAACGCCCACGTTCATAAAATGAAATACTTAAGTAGTAAGTAGACGACCTCGAAATTGCGTGCAGCGGTAAATGGCGTTCCATAAAATCCCATCGAACAGCCCGTTATCTTAATGTGACCGCAAAAGTTTTCGGGATTTTAAAGAAACACTTCAATAAACACGTCTTTTTAGGGCTGAATTTTCACTCGTTGTTTGGCGGATCTGTTTAGGCCCAAAGTATTTACTAATCACGTCTTTTGAGCGTTTATATCATTTATCACCCAAAGATGCATAGAGACTATCGAAAAACTTAGGAAATCTTACCTAAAAACCATATTAGTGTATGTACCCGTTAAAATTAATTCTCTTTTCTTGTTATCTTTCATTTTATTGGGGATCCAGTTGCCCCAAAGGCCATTTTTTTAAATTTTCTGCAATCTTCTACCTTTTATTATCATTCGCGTTTATGTACACCAAATGTCGCATTCATATTCCCCTCCTTCTTCCTATTGGTCCGTTTACCCTTGAGTGGATGATTTCTCTTGTCCGCCCACAGTGCATGTGGCCGTGAACTCACACATCGACTGAGGCGGTAAGGACTCTCTTCAGTAAGGTCATGTCTTGTTATGTCGGAGTGGTAGTGTGGGGTGGTCGATTGCGTGCTAGCTCGGGAATCGATTAGATGTGCTAAGGGTTATCATCTTGTACCAGGATCCGAACACCTTCACAATTGCCCCGTCTACCACAAGTTAAATTAGTTGAAAAAGTAGTGAATAATCATATGGTAGGTAAATCAAACAAAACACAAATTCTCTATTTAAAGTTGGTTTAGTTAGAGCTGCGAATTTGATTTGTGAGAAATTATTAAAACAACTAACTGACTTATTCGCAAGCTTAAATTTTAGACCCAACAATGATTTCACAAAGAAAATTTATGGGAACGAAATTGAAGGACAAATGAAAAACAAGAATAATTCTTTCGAAGAACATGATAGACATTTTAAACGGAAGACGAATTTGCTGTACTTGGTATTGATGGATGGAGAAAGATTGATGACGGCCAGAAAGAAATGTAAATATGTTGTTGCGTTTCCCCATTTTGAATTATTCTTTTATTTCGTATTTCAAGCAGTAAAGTCAGCACAACCGTTTATTCAGAAAAAAAAACGTTTTTATTTTTGTGGCAATATGTTTCAGAATGTACACAAGTCCAGTATTCGACCACCAGCCAAAAGAGTAAATCAATAGCAAAAATCGATACGTGAGTCATTGAACTGAAAGTGCGAGACTTACACCCAATCACTAGCCTTCTTGCTTCATCGGGCAATCCGCGAATTTTCGTAGTTAAAACAAAAATGCGCGCTCGCGTCGACTACATTAACGGAAATGAACTTTGACATCTTCATTCTTGTGCGACTTAACCATCAGGTCAAACAGTAAACATTGCCTCAGTTAGCGCTGATTTCTCTTCATCACGGTATTTTACAACGTCGAGGTGTCACTTTACCACGCCTTCATTTACGAGGGCATTTCCTGCCAATAAAAACGGAAAAGCTGGCAAAATTTTACAGGGTGCCATAGTAACGCAAAAGTCTTCAATTTGCACTCTTGACAGTTAACGCTTCTTCAAAAATAATGTTCACAAAAGCGCTCCTTAACGATTTCACTGTTTCCAACATAATTAAAGGATGAATACAACACAAACCTTAGTTCACTGAAACGAAGGTATTAAAGTGAAGTTTTGCTGTTTTCGTGGTATACACAGGTAGTCCTCGTGATAGAAAAGATCATTTTTAAGTTTTGGTTGCCGACAAGGCTTAAAATTTAGCTTTCAAATATGTTAAAATGGGATTTCAATTACCCCACATGGCAAACTAGGATGCAACGTGTAAATGTACGCCACAGTAGCTCAACAAAACCTCCTTGCGCATTAAAAAAATTGCGCAGATTAAAAATTTTAAAATGAACCATCTGATAATTGTTTATTGTGATTCATCAACGATCATTCACGCACTGCGCAGTTTGTTTAACCAAACAATCATGTGCAACTGATTACTGCGTGTGAGACTAGACGAACTCTGGCTTGCCTACACCCGTAAGTCAATGTAATTAATGTTTCTTTAATATTTGTTAGATTGGTTATTGATCTCTATCCAAGTTTTACCCAGGTTACGCTCAAAGCCTTTCGTCAGGCACTACCAAAGCTGCTTTCAACATTAATGTCTGGCCACCGATGCTAACTGAGACGTCTTTTTAAAAAAAATAAATAAAACGGAAAACGTGAGGTATTTTCCAACGATTTAGCAGTAACGTGGTTCCAGTTGTATCCGATTCAATTTGAAATCGGTAGGTCATAAAAAGGTGGATTTTTCATGGGTCTTTTAATTAATGTCCAGGCAATAAAACAAGCCTTTTTGCCAGACAATATAAAATGACAAATGCAGATTTCTAAACCTGCAAATCTTTTAAAAAACGCCCGAGATTTACACCAAAGTCACTTAACTGTAAATTTAAAACAATTACGAGAAACAGTGTACTTAATCAGTGCTGCTTTGTGATTTTATCGTGTTCTAGAATAAGAGTCTGTTGAATCAGATATTATTTGCACACACGACAAGCACAGCTAGAGCTAGGAGTTATCATGAACCACTTGCAGACAAGATTCAAAGCATCCCATCTGATAATCACACTCACCTTTGTCCAGCTTCTTGTTGATTGTGCCACCTCGACGAAGAGGACTTTTCCGCGGTCCCGAAGTCTCTGATGCTTCGTCGTCTTTTGAATCTTCGCTTCTTCGACTTCCGTTCACACTAGTCGGGGTGTCTGGCGCAGTTGTGGGCTCGTCTGCGTCCAGTGAATGCGGCGTAGACGTCTGTGTAGTGGTCTTTCGCGTTCCAACTAGGGAAATCAGCATCAGCTAAGAATTAAGCTGATAGAATTCCAGGAAGCATCAGGTCGTGATTTAAATTTGTGTTTTGAGCAAGGCAATTTGTCGCCAGAAAATAACATCGAAAATAGTCTTCCTTAGTTTGGCATGTTACGTGTCTCGACCAAGTAAAGCGTTTTTGAGGATCGCGCGCTTTCTGATATTGTATCTTCACGGTTTCTGCTTTCAATTAAAAAAGTCAATTCTTACACACCAGTGGGGTAAATAAACGATTTTTTAAAGGATTATCAGCAGTATTATCTCTTAAGCACAATCTGGGATGCAATTTGTGAATGATACGTCCTAATCAATTCTTCAAATCTAAATAGCGTCAATTTTGAAGCCAGATATTCCTACGCTCGCTTGGAGTTTAGCAGGCTTAGTGTTCGCAAATTGTCAGCATTTTGGACAATTTCTTCTCCCATTTTAAATCTCTCTTGAGACTTTGAACCTTAAACTCGAAAAGTGGATCAGATTTTAACTGCGTCAACTCGTACATTCGACAATCATGGGGTAAAAGACGGTGTTCTTGCCGGTGAGACTGCTTGCAGCCGTGACAAAGCCGTTGGCGAGGATGTACAACATGAGACCGGGATGGACGACCGACTCGAGTCTCACCAGACCTCGTGACCTGACGCGGTGGACGCGGAAGCTGCAGTCCTCTTCACCGACCCCCTAGGGAATCGAAAATATTGCCATTCACAGAATTCTACGATTTCTTCCTTATTTTAAACCTCACACACAGGAATGCCCGTTAACACACTAAATTTTAACCATTCCGTCAGTAAAAAAATGGATTTCTTTTTACCAATTATGAAAAACCAGACTTAGTACTTCCTTCGGGCGATGTTTGGTGTTTGCAAAAGCCATCTTACATTGTAATTACCAGCCTGAGGTATAAATTAGGCTCTCAGACGATCGTATCTCCGACAATCTAATCATCTTTATCGGAAATTAACCTGTCAAATCAAAAGGTGACCATTATTACAAAATTTGCATGTAGGAAATATTGTATTTTTAGCCATATTTTGCCCTATTTTCTCCTGTAAGTTGATTTACAAATTGGCCTGAAATTTTTTGGGAAAAATGTGCCTTTAAAAACGGTAAACTGCGGACAAATACAATTTATGCTAACTTCAACGGCTGGCAAAGTAGTTTTAATTAGCTTGTCTATTGGATGTCATTCAAGTCAAGTTTGGGGATTCTAATTTAGTTTGCAAATCTACATAGAATAACATTTCCTAGGATTTTAAGGAAGTTGAATGGGCATAATAGAGTTACTACGGCATCATTTAACTTAGTTCAACCGCTTAATGCATATTAAGGTTAAAGCTAAAATAACTAGCTCCGTGGAATAATTTTATGTTAAATGTGCCATCAGTGATTGCCCATTTTGACATTTACAGTCACGCTAGTTCTGAATTTCGTTTGGTTTTATTTGATCACGTAGACAGGCTATCAGACCCGGTCTTCATCTCGGAAGTTAATAATAATTCAGTTATCTTAAATACAAGGCGACATTTAGTGGTTTTTAACTACAGGTGTCAAGATCATGGTTAATCCATAGGAGGCCTTGGTACTAAGTTCGAATGACTCATAGGCCCTTTGCAACGGCCTCAAATCTCAATTGGCAGGTGGGTAATAAAGAAAGGTGTTGGGGATCCACGATTCCCCAAGATTGCTCGTCGTTGGTTTCTGATGCTATTTACACTAATTCACTAACATGTGTTTTGATACACTTTTTATCAAGTCAAGGTCAACCCTGACTTGAATTAGATTTGACGTCCGGACAGCACGCCACACGTGGCTGACGTGATTAAGCTCTCTACACGAGGTCTGGTCTTGTTCTTGTAATAGCGTGGGAAGGTCGGTTCTAGCGCCAACAAGGGATCACGTACCGTCATTTGAGTGGTTTTGTCTTTGTTACGGGCAAACGTAACAGAAAGCAGGCTAGAAGTGCCAGTGACTGACCACTCACCATGACGTCGCACTCGCCTGGCTGTGTTATTCGTAGAAAGCGACCTGGATGTGCCACCGATTCGAAAGCCCTCACCTGACCGGCTCTCCGGTGCACGCGCCAGTAGGCCTCGCTCTTGCGCGGACCCGTGGCCCACGCCACCAGTGTCCCCTCTGAATTTCCATTGGCGGCGTCAAGGCGCCGGGCCACGAGGGTCTGTTCTGGGCTTGTGCAGAGCATTATAATCCCTCCGTTTCGCATCGAACCCTGCTCAAAAACAAACCGACAAATTGCATGTGTCTTATTCTATACACAAATAGAATTACTCAAGCAGCGAACACCCCTTCAAAAACAAACCGACAAATTGTGTCTTATTCTATACACAAATCGAATTAATCAAGCAGCGAACACCCCTTCATGCAAGTGATGGAGTCAAAGCTAATATCCCCTAAATTGGCGGAACCTTATTAATTTTGTACCTTCAAAGAAGAATTTATTGAATTCAAATCGCGTATCCATGTCCAAAGGCAAAATGCAATTTTGCATTCTTGCTTGAAAAAAAATTTATAAATTTTTTGTTTGGGTCATTCAACTTTACCATCGTTTCTTCCCAACTGACTGTAGGTAATAAAGAGTAAAAAAAGACATGTTAAATTATTAAAGGTTTGTTTTAACTTAAAGTAAATCACTTTTCATGAAAAATTATACAGAAATCATCTAGAATGCCATCAAAATATATTAAAAGGGTGGAAACCTGTCGTAATTTGCCGCTTCTCTTTTGTAATCCTTACAATTATCCTTTTTTCTTGCATAACCCCATGTTTTAAATGCTCATAATTGGAGCTTGGGAACTTAATTAGTGCGTTTCAGACTGTTGAAAACTAACTGGACTACTAAAAGCTACTTTAATTGCTATCAATTTAGTTGGTAAAACGGCTGTCTCAATGATGAGGTCTGTCTGGAGATTGCAGTGCTCTCTATTTACGACCAGCTGCCATTCTGGCATGTGACTTGACACGTTAGGGACAGAGCCTTCGTCGAAGCAGCGTGCAAGCGTGAGCGAACACAAATCAATCGATTTTTCTTTCGTGAATGCACTTCACGCAGCTGCGTGCGCTCCGAGATCGATTGTTAGCGTAGCCGTGCAAACGCACTAGTTAATCTGTCTTCGTCTTGTCTACTCTAGTAACTAAGACGGTTATTCGGGACAAGTTCTGCCAGAGGCCACTGCCGTTTGACATACTTCGTCTTAACGCGTGTGAAAATAATTTAAAGTGATAAGTTATAAGAATAAATAAATTAATTTTAAAACTCCTTGCCAGATCCTTTCAGGTTGCAAAAGCCCCTCCACTAAATTTCCTTGATGTTCTTGTGGCGAAGAGCATGCGAACCGTCGTGAGAGAACGCAGCGTGCAAGCGTGAGCGAACACAAATCAATCGATTTTCCTTTCGTGAATGCACTTCACGCAGCTGCGTGCGCT